GAGAGAGAGAGAGAGAGAGAGAGAGAGAGAGAGAGTCTGCCTCCTATCACTGCCTATCATCTACTGTCTGCCGCCTTTGCCACCTCCAGTTACCTTCCATATCATGAATAAGTTCTCTGTACCGAGAGAAAGTGGTGCTGACAAGGCAAGGCATTTGTCGTCAATTGAGGCGAAGTGGCACAGTCTGCGCAGTGGTCTGGCGATTGAGCAAATGAGTCCCCATGACCATGAATGCATGACCCATCATATTTTTTATTGTGAGCGAACCTGCAAGACGTCATCTACTTGATGTATGAAGTGTAGCATGTTATGACTTATAACAGAATCTTCCATCACACGAGTGCCAGCATGACAGATGGACTCGTACTCTTGGGGACACATGATACCTGTCCTCTAACCATGTAACATTCTATTTCCTGTGTGCGTCAAGATAACAGGATTCTGAGTGCATGAGACTAAAGAGAGACTTACTCCTCATTCTCTACATATGACAGCCAGTGAGTTATCATACAGTGTTCCACCATGATATCGGAGGCAGCAGGAAGCATAGTCAACGAACTCGTACGCAGTGCGTCTTGTGACCAATTGGTAAAACCTTCAAGGTTTTAGCTGAAAATCCAAAATCAAGAGCTGCGCCAGCTGTGACACTCACCAACCAATTGAGTTGTAGTGTAATCCATGGGAAGACTCTGGCCATTTAAGTTGCCATCAGCAAAAATACGATCATAGCGAGTGCTAAAGGAATGCCGTGTAATGTAATATGACAAGCTCTGGAACATAATGGCTGGTGTGAAAAGACATGGGAATAGTGACCCATGAACTAAAACAAACACCAGAGCAGAACTATTTCCAGGATTGGCAATACTGGTCAATCTTATGTCTTTCCTGCCTCTTTCCTTTGTTTCCCCCTCTTTCGCGGCTGACCGCAGAGTGGCTGACCGCAGAGCGGGGCAACTGAAAACGCACTTAGTTTGATGACACACCCCGCCTCTCCTACTTTCCAAAGTATTTTTTATTGATGGGCCTCAGTCAAAAGACTCAAAACACACCTCAGCCATCCTTTGCACAAGAAATGCCGGCTCAACTTTTGTAAGTTTTATCTAAAAATCAGGCGTGTGGAGCCCCAACAAAATTTACGAAGAAAACAGCTTACTTACTTTTTTTTTTTCTTTTTTTTTATAACAAAAACAGGACCTTATGGTCCTGGCTCCTTTCCATTCTGGGGAGCATCAGTCCGGTTCCTATTCCACCGGCAAGTCAGAATAGACATTACAATAAGAACCACCCACGCTTCCTTCCGTCTGGCCGAAGGACCCCTGAGCAGCATTGATTGCTCCACCTTGGTGGAGGATTGACTGCCAGCTTGCCATGCCTCACTCTTTTCTCTCAGACCTGATAACCAGATCTGCCAGATAGATCCATGCCACCTAGAAAGAGCTCACCCATTGTCCAAGCTAGCTTGTACCCCCACTTACCCATCCTGCCCGTGAGCTACAATACCCTCTGTCCCACCCTTTTTCTTTTAATTCCCTTAAAAAGCGTCACTAAAACCCTAAACCCTAAACCCTCATCCGGTAACCATTACCAACACCTTTGTGACTCTTCGAATCCCCTCCTAGGCTGGGTTGTGCGGCTACATTTCWGGGCCCTTGACTGTTCCCCTTGAGTGATATGCGGCCTTCTTTCCGTTGTAACCTTTCTCCAGCATTTCTYTTGAATCAATTGTTTCTCCGTYGCTACGGCCATTTGGTCTCGTCCGTCCATCTTTGAAATGTCTCTCCGTTGCTGCGGTCATTTGGTCTTGTCCGTCCCTCGTGGAGGTCTGATCAGGAGGTGTTTTGCCCGTCCRCAGTTATCTGTTGTTGGTAGCCCCTTCCTGAATTTGAGTTATGCCAGTCTTTCCAGCAAATGCGGTATTCTCGTAACTCCGCTATTTTACCGCTTATCAACCAGATCCTGCTGAATCTCAGTCTCACCTTCTTTTGTTGTTCCTCATCCTCCGTCCATGATTGTTTGGTCTTCCGCCATCTGCAGAGGATTTCGGCTTGTATCATCGTTTTTGTCTCCGCCCAAACCTTCTCACGTGGGTTGGACAGTCCTTCAATCGCTCTGCTGCAAAAAAAGCTCAAACTAGGGCTGAAGAGCACAAGCCTATAATTGAGATGCGGGGGTTTCATGCAAGAGATGGGGGGGGGGAAGGCTATTTAGTACCAATTACAATGAGAAGTGTGTTGTTGTCCGTGTGCAGACCATGAAGGATTGTGAGCAGGCAGTTAATTGGCTAACAGCAGGAAGAACTGGCTTAACGGCAAAGTCTAATGCATGGGCTGGTCCTGACCATTGGCGTTTTACTTGGCATAAAGGTACAACAATCTCAAACAGGTTTTTGTGCCCCCTTGTTTTTTGCAAAAGAAAACGAGAAACTATCTCGAGCATTGGTTGTCTCCTTTTCAGTTTTGCTTCTTGTTTTTCCGTTCTCAATCTGTTTATTGGTGGATACTGTGGTTCACCGATAGAAAGCAAGTTATCCTTGTGATTGTGTGGCACATTTTCCGGTTCCACACTTTCAGCTTCCTTCACAAACACAGGCTATCATGGCTATGAGAACAGCAAGATCTTTTTCTTTTTGGGAAGAACAGCAAGATCTCTCCCTATGTCAGGATTGGGTAATTTACGCGCCTACTCC